GCGGAGCCCTCCTGGGCACTGGTAGTTGTGCAGACGGGACGACTCTTGAGGAGGAGAAGGCTCTGTAGCCCCCTCGTTCTCCACCTGTACCCAGACTCTTGGGAGCGGATGTGGCTGAGGTTCTCAATCCCGGGCAGGACCGCCTGGCCCGTGGGACAGCTGGGACCCGCACAGCGACACCTGGTCAGCCACGTGGCAGAACGGGGTGGGGGGGGGTAGGGGGGCGGGGACAGGAAGGGCACAGCGGCAGGAGCTCGCTGTCCTGGGAGCAGGTGAGGGCTGACGCGGCTGGTGGGGAGCGCTCAGGCAGGTCTAGGGGCGGCTACTCTTCCCAGAGGAGCTCTATCCCATAGAAAGGGGGCCAGGCGTGGGTCCCGTTTGCCCCCTGCTCAGGTACAGCAACCCCCCTTCCCAGTCACCTGGGGTGCTTGCAAGGGTGGCGCGTCTGCACGTGAGCACTCGAACACGCGTGCCTCCAGCAGGCCCAGCGCTTCCTACCGGGCTGTGGGTGGAGGGGAGAGGGCTGTGCCATGCCGGGTTCGGATTCAGGTAAGTGAGGGGTGCGCTGCCGGAGATGCAAGGAGTGCTGGGCTCCGGCTCCAGAGCAAGCCTCAGTAAATCTTGGGGTCCTTTCCAGTGGGTCGAGGGTGTGAGCAGAGGCGAATGTGTTGAGGATGAGCGCTCCATCTACATGTGGGCAGCCGAGCTGAGCTGCGTTGGGGAGCTTTCTGGGGTCCCTCCACTCTCTACTCGTCTCTGCAGCCCACCAAATCCCTGCAATCTCACCAGCTTCTCTCAGAGCAGTGACCCCCTCTCACCACCCCCTGCCCCAACTCTTCAGCTTTGAATACTCCTCAGTGAGTCTTCTCTCTTCTTCCTCTTCATTGGCCAATCTCATGGGGCATATTCTTCTTACATGACCACAAACTCTACCCGTTCTCTCATTCTGCCTTTTCTTCCTCCTTCCAAAGGGTCAGGAGCCCTGTCTCAGCTCCAGCCCTCTGCTGGGGAGAGGGGCACAGAGAGCTAGGCACAAGGTCCTTGCTCCAAGGACAGCTGGATCCAGCGGCCAGGGAAGATGGCCCTCCCCTGATGAGAACCGAGCCCTGATGATGATACTGTCATCCTTTTCGCTCCACCCCCGCCTCTTTCTGACTCTGCTCCAGAGGGACCCCCAGGACACCCTCCCGACCATCCCTCTCCCACGCTGCTCACGGTCCTGTCCTACATTCACTCATTGCCTGAGACCCGGTCTAGTGAGCGATAGTGCCCTTGCCCTGGATAAAGAGGGTCAGAGGATGTGAGAGGAGCGTGAAACTGTGTGCCTAAGGGCTGGGCAGCTGGCCACCCCCCACCCCCCGACCCAGCTGAAGGAGCTCAGTGAAGAGAGCGAGCTGGGGGCAGTTGTGGCTTTAGGACAGCACAATTTGAACACAGGGAGCCTCTGAAGGATGAGTGGGATCTATCTGGGTACTGAAGAGGGAGGGGGGTGAGTTTCCAGATGAGGTGGAACAAGGTTGCTCTCTCAGCCAGGGCCACCCTCTGGTGTGGACGAAGGATGGGTGACCAGGAGAGAGGGGGGAAGGAGCCAGCCTGACTGAGGATGGTGTTTACCTTTCAGAGGGGCCTCCCCACCCAGACCGCTGGGACCCCCTGTTTCCACAAGAATGGCCCAGATGTCTCAGGTGCAGGAACTCTTCCACGAGGCAGCCCAGCAGGTAGGCCTGGGTGGTGTGGGGGGACAGCCACGACCCATGAACAAAGAGTCATCAGACAGGAAACTGAATGCAAATATTACAGTGCACTATTTTAGAAAGAATTATCTCAGAAGTTTTGGAGTTTTGTTTGTTTGTTTGGTGGGTTTTTGGTGTGTTTTTTTTTTGTTTTTTGGGTTTTTTTTGTATTTCAGCTTGAGAAAATATAGCCAACTGTTAACCATTTATGTAGACTCTTTTCTTTGCTATTATTTGTAGTGGATTTTTAATCCTGGTCTCCTCTCCCCACCCCCACCCCCACCATGGAGATTTTCCATGAACAGAGTAAGGACTCAGATAACATGAACTTTTAATATTGAATTAAACCAATGTAAGAAGGAAAAAATGTTTCTGATAATTTCATATATGCTGAAGGCAAATGAGTTTCTGGATTCCCTGATGTCTGCAGGGCTATTTATTCCCCTTTATCCTCTTCCTGTTGACCTCTAGTTATAGTAAATGTTCGATGTAGCTATGGAATTGAAGTGGCTCTCCCTAGAAATAGTTAATCCCTTAAAAAAAAGTACTTAAGCGTATATCAGGAAACTACTTGTTTCCAGTGTCTTTGTCTGTTGGTTAACAACCACTCAGCCTTGATCTTTTCACTGTCCTTTGGATTCTCTCATGCTTTGTAGAGTGGGGCAGGAGGGTTGCTAGAGATTGTAACAGGGAGAATGAGCCCCCCAAGAGGGGAGAGAATCAACTCAAGGCCTTACTCAATAGCAAGAGCAGGGTCTAGAACCGGGGGTCCTGGGCCAAGGAATGGAGGCTGGTGAGGGGCTCAGGGTTGGTGGGGGAACCCAGACTGGCTGTGTGCCTTCTCTTCATGGACACGAGTTCATGTGAGAAACGCAGCATGATGGCGGGCGGGTGGTGAGTGTTCCCCTTCCCCCTGGCAGGCCCAGGGCCGTAATCCTGCTCCTCACACATAGCCCTGGAAGTAGTCAGGCTGCTTAGAAATGAGTGACTGGAGACTTGGAATGGCTCTTCATAGAAATCTCAGAGCTCTTGCCCAGAGCTCTTCACTCCTGGGTGACAAGGCCTATGGCCTCATCCTCAGTGGGGCCAAGGACCCTTAGAAAGACCTTGATTTGTCAGGGGTCTTACATTTTATTTACCTTGTCCAGTCTCCCACCATACTTCCCATGCATTTCCTTTGGGTGTATAAGACTGGACATGAGTGCTTATACACTTAACATATATTTGTGGACTACTTCCTAAATAATGGGCTAAGAGTGAAAAAGATACTCGGGTGGAAAACATGAGGCACTTGTGCCCAGGGATTCCAAAAAGGGAAAGAAATGAGACATTTTCGGTTCATCTCTGAGCTCTGTTAGAGCTCAGCTGTAATGCTCTCTGCCCTGTTCAAAGCCTTCTGTGGCTCCCCGTGTCGACCACCCGGTGTACAAACTCCTTAGCCTCAGCCCTGCGCTGTCCAACTCAGCCTGAGTCCCCAGTGCGCTCCTCTTTGTGCCCCACCTTCCAGCCAAAGCTCACCATTCCTTAGGCTCTGTGCTTGCATCTTTCCCCTAGGTTGGTCTTTGCTGATACTGTTCACTAAATTCATTTGCCACCAGAACCCTCCAAGTACCTAAAGCAGTGCTAGGTATCTAAGTGGACAATAAATGTTAGCTGATTAAGCAAATGAACAAGTAACAGATAACCACAATGCAAGTTAAATTGCCATAAGTGATGATTTTTAAAATATGGTGGACGCAAATTCCTCCGTGTCTCCTCCTTCTCCCTCCTCTTCAATCTCCAAACATTGAGGGATTGGACAACATTCAATGTCCAGGCCTTTGGTGTTCACAGTCGAGACACATTTGAAATCCATCTCTTTTTCTCTGTCTCCTCTGTTCTTTTTCCAAGGTACCATTTCTTGCCTGGACTATTCATACCCTTCTAACTTCTTTCCTCACATTGCGGTTCTTTCTCCACATTGCCACTAAAGTGATCTTTTTCTAAAGCATAAAATTGTGCCTTTGACTCCTCTGCTTGAAGCCTTTCAATGGCTTCACAATTCTGTTCCAACTCCTTATCTTGGTGCCCAACACCCCCAGATCCCACTGAGCACCCCTGCTCCCACAGCAGGCGCTGCCACTATGCTTACCACATGGCATTGCAATGAGCTGTTTCTCTCCTGTCTCCCTGAAGGATATGAACTCTGTAAGTTCAAGGTCATGTCTTATTCATTTCTGTGCTCTCAATACAGGCCCCGAGTGCTCAGCATATAGAAAATGCTCAGTCGGTGTTGGTACTATGTAACCGAACTTGCCTGGCTAGGGACTGGGGCAGTGCCATTTGCAGTATTGGTGGACATAGAACAAATGGTGACGTTGGGAAGCACGTCCCAGGCTGAGAGGGTAAGACAATGTTAATAACTACCAATTGGTGGGCAAGTATGTACTGAACATTTAATATGCATTCCCTCATTGAATCCTTACAGCAATATTCTGAAGTAGGACAGGACTAATTTGGTGTGACAGATGAAAAACAGAGGTACTTGGAACCCAGGTCTAAGCTTTAATCCTTTCTGCTGTATGTCTCCTGCCTCAGTGGTAAGAACAAGGCCAGCAGATGGTAAACCCAAGGCCTGGGTGGGGACCAGATAGCAGGCTGGGCAGCTAACACGTTTGAAGCTGAACTCTGGGAGTGCCTAGCCCTCCAGGAGTTTCCCATGAACCTTTCTTTTTTTCTCTTGAATATGTTTTTAAAAAATTTTTAATACAACATTGGAAAAAGATTTGGGGATCTTGAGAAGGTAGATTATATGTATACTATATTATGTAATATTGCCAACCAGCCATGTAGCCAGAAAGAAATTTGAACACTGGCTCTCATTTTCACATGCAAATGACTGTGAACTTTCCATCAGACTCAGAACTATTTATGAATGTACATATGTATTTTTATTTGTTGTTCAATTACAGTTGTCCCAATTTTTCCCCTGTTGCTCTCCCCTGCCCAACCCACCCCCCTCCCCTCAGTCAATCCCCACCCTGTTGCCCACATCCTTGGGTCCTTTATAGATGTTCCTTGACTAGACCCTTCCCCTTTTCTCCCCCATTATCCCCTTACACCCTCCCCTCTGGTCACTATCAGTTTGTTCTTTATTTCCATGTCTCTAGTTCTATTTCGCTCATTTGTTTGTTTTGTTTATTGGGTTCCACTTATAGGTGAGGTCGTATGGTACTTGTCTTCCATTGCCTGGCTTATTTCATTTAGCATAATGCTCTCCAGTTCCATGAAAGCATGGCACGCTTCATGAATTTGTATGTCATCCTCGCGCAGGGGCCATGCCCATCTACTCTGTACCATTCCAAAACTAGTGCATGTGCTGCTGAAGCGAGCACTCCTGTGAACTTTTTTCTAGCTTTACCCAAGTCTTGGGAGTTGGGAATCCTGCTAAGAGGTTTGGAGCCTGAGGAACATGGGATTAAGAAGGCAGTGCCCAGTGGGAAGAGACCTGATGGGTGCTATGTGAGCCCATCAATTCAGATCTGCTCTTTTCTTGGTCACTGTGACAGGAAAGTAGCTCTCAGGAAATTTGGCCACAGAGAGGATGTTGTGAGTTAGGTGGAGAGGTGAATGAATGGATCCTTGGTTTGGCTTTACTACTCTCAGGACCAGATGGGGTAGCAGTGTGCGTAATGTGTGCATGTATGCGTGTTGGTCAGTAATAAGGGGACCAACTGGGAAGAGGCTGTAGGTCTGAGGGAACATGGTGTGATGGTCAAGCATACATGTGCCTGGGTTCAAGTGCTAACTCTAACCCTTTGTGACCTTGGGCTAGTTACTTGCTAAGCTTCCTCACCTATAAAATGGCTACAGTAATAGAACCTACCCTAAAGATTACAAAGGTTAAAAGAGATAATTCATGTAAATATTGAGTATGGTGCTTGTTTAACAGTAAATATTCAGTAAATGTTGGCTAATAATAAAACTAAGGTACGGAGTATGTATTTGGTCCACATATGAGGTAGTGATGTAAATGATCGGAAGGTTCAGTTGGCAAGTAAACGAATGACTCAGCACGGCAAATTCAAGCAGAAGACCTACGGCAGGAGTCCCAAATCCAGAATGATTCCAGTGGCCAAAACAAGAATGAGGGATATTGTCCAGGACAACCTCTTGGGTGAGCAGTCCATTGAGGGGTATGGGATACTTTCTAGGTCTAAGTGGGTCTAGGGTAGTTCAGGAATGTGTGCATGTGTGTGTGTTTATGTGTTTGAGGACCCACTGAATTTGTGGCAAGTGTGCATCTTGCTCCAGGAGCCTCTGTCCTCAGGTACTTCACTGATACTTGGTTGGTTTGGTGGTGGACTTGAACCTGTTAACTTGAATTCCAAATTCTGACTGTGCCACTAGATGTGTTGGGCCCTTGGACAAGTTACTCAAGGGCTCCCAGTCTGTTTTCACAACTGCGAGATGGGTTGTGTGAACCTGCTTGTCAGGGTTTTTATGCCGTATGCAGTAGGACCTGGCCCAGTGGCTGTCACGAGTGAGCACTAAATACAATGCATGTTCAGTAACTGGATGAAGCAGATATCGTATTGAAACCCAATAGAGTGGGCTATTGGTGAACACAGGGCTGGAAAGCTAAGGAGCAGCTGGTGCCTGAGGGGAGTGAATGGAAGGCTAATAACCTTAGATTCCATGCTTGTCTCTGCCAGTCACTGGACAGAGAGGACTGTGAAGAACATGGTGTGTCAGGAAGAGTAAGCTGGCAGCAGAAAGCAGGTAGCCTGAGACAGAGGGAGGTGGCAAGTAGACATATTGTGGGAGATCTGTAGTCCAGCAGGATCAGATGCTTTGAGCATGGGTAATAGTGAGAAAATTCAGCTCAACTGGCTTGCCTGCTGGCTTGCCTCCTTGGTTGTTTATTTCCTCACCTGAGAACATGCTTATTGATTTCAGAGAGTGGGAAAGGGAAGGAGAGAGAGGGAGAGAGATATTGACATGAGAGACAAACATTCATCGTTTGGCTCTTGCACGCACCCTGACCGGGGCCGAACGTGCAATTTAGGCATATGTCCTGACTGGGAATCGAACCCACAGACTTGTGCTTTATGGGACGACGCTCCAACCAATTGAGCCACGCTGGGCTTGTTTACTGAGTGCCTATTCTTGCCAGGATCCCCAGCTACTGCTAGAGATATTAAAACTGAACTCTCTTAATTACTGTGGAATAAGGAAAACCTCCAACCAACCTGAAGCTTTTGCCTTCTTTCTCTCAGAGTTGGATGGTCTTCAGAGAAACTGAAAGGGAAGCTGTGGCATGCTATGGCATGAGAACAAGTCACCAGAAACTACAGATTAGGTAGTATAAGTGATTCATTTTATTCTTTCCTCTATATCCCGTTTTCCTCCAGAGACTTGAGCTCCAGCTGAAGTAGGTCCATGAGGACTCTTTTTTTAGGAAGTCTGTGGGGTAATATCTGGCTGGCCTGAGCTAATCACCCTACAGAAAAGCTCAGTGCAGACCCAGGGAATGGGTTCCTGTCAGAGCCATGGCATCTGGGCCACCTGTGGGAGGAGATGTGTCCAGATTGGCTTCCAGGGTGTGACCCACCTCCGACCCTGTACCCAGCATTGCCTGACGTCCTGCCCTCTCTTTCGCTTCTCTGTCTTCCCCTCCTTTGACTCTCTCTGTTGTCTCCTCCTCAGTTCAGTGGCTTACCTAGGTTAGTCTGATGGGAGTAAGAAAGTGAGTCTGGTCAAGTGGCACGAGCAAGAGAGAGGCAGATAGAAATGAACATGTTTAGAGACACGGATCCAGAGAGCTCCTCTGACCCAGTCTCGTTGCTCACCATGTCAGGAAACAAGCCCAGAGATGTTGAATGAGTTGTCCAAACAAATGACAGAGCCAGGCTAACCCACGATCCCATAATACAGCTCTGAGTTGCTCTTAATGCATCCAGTCTTTAGGTGATAATGCAAATTTGAGCACTGGTGCCAGGCTTCATTGCAAAAGCATTGCTCTTATTTTCTGCATCCTCATTAGCCAGTGTACAGTTAAGAACCGACTTGTTTTTCCTATGCATTTTCCAGGCCTGTTTTAGCATCTTTAAAAAGCCAATATGCAAAGTGAGCCTCATCAGCTACATGTGAGGTAAAAACACATTGCTTTGTCAGTATGCAGAGAAGTGAATGCACCTGAGGAGAAAAGGAAACTTAAGACAACACTGTCTTGTGAGCCCCTCCTTTTACAGATAAGGAAACTGGGGCCCGGAATCATTGTGGGGAAATGAAGGGCTCACGTCTGGGGTTTCTGGAGCCACGAGTTCTCTTGCCTGCCAGGTTTTTGTAGAACATGAAGCTTATACAATTTTTATGGATTGTCTTTAGTAAAAATTACAAATACAAAATTAGATATAACCTCTGGGAGGAACCCAGTGCAGGTGAAAGGTCTTGAAGCCTAAGCTCTTAGCTTCACTGTAAAGACCACCAATGGTAGCTTTTGGAGGTAGCAGAAGAAAAGAAGTTCACAGCCCCAAAATCCGGGAGAGAAGAGAGGACAGAAATGGTCCTCAGGGTCTAGTTGAGTCTGTGGCTTTCACATCGGCACTCTCACCCTTTCCCACTCTTTCTTCTTTGCCCTTCCCCCTTTCCATTTTGCAGCCCCGTTTGTTATTTAACCTGGGAGCTCAACCCTGAAAATGGCAACTAGGCTGAAAAAGCTGCATATTTGTAAAAAGTGGAATGGAGACCTTTTCTGGCTGATGTCCTAGAACCTGGAATGAAAGTGATTCTTCACTGAAATGAATTAGGTGGGATTCAGTCTCATTGGTACCCAAGGATCTTCATTCATAGAGGCGAGCGAGTGGTGACATGGAGAGGTCAATGCCACTGGAAGAATTTCCTACCTACATGTCCTGAGAGAAGGGGGAGTGCTGCACACACAAGGCGAGAGGGGCAGCATCAGGTTCTAGTTGGGGGGCAGAAGCAGGAGCGAGGGGGAGGCCTGGGCGAGAGCCTTTACTGGACTTTCCATGGGAAAGGCAGAGCAGAGCAGGTTAGAATTGGCTAGTTTGAATAGTTCTGGCAGGCTTTGGGCTAAAGGGGTGGTTTCTAGTTGTCTAGTCAATAGCCCTGAGATGACTTAGAGCAGGGTATGCCTTGGTGTATGAAAGTTACATAAAAGGGGGTGATTTGGGTAAAGATTTGGAATTGGTTGATTTGCATATGAAACGGATGCTCCTGGTCAGCCCTTTGCTATCTCTAAGAATTGGTTAACCCTGAGAGGGTTCATCTCCTTAGGCAGCAAGATTTTAAAAATGTTATAACATCATAAGATAAAAAACAAACAAAAATATGATTAATACATTCAACTTATCTGAATGAATGGGTTAGGTAACTTGAAAACTTCTTACTGCCAAAGGATACATTTCATCCATGGCCAGATAAGGATTGTTCCTTGCCATCATTTAGTTGCGGGGGTTTGCAAGGAGATTCGTCATGACTTTGAAGTACTACTATGCTTGTAATTTGAGGAAGGTGCCACTAGGTGGTGATCAGCCTCTGGCCTGGCCTAATTGGACACCCTGGCCTTTTATCAGGGTGGATAACTGAGTTTTGGCTTATTTTTCCCATTTATTTTATACTTTCCCCAACTAAAATGTATCTCTTCAGGGTAAGAGTTTAAAAATTTTTTTTAATATATATATTTTATTGATTATACTATTACAATTGTCCCTTTTATTTCTGCCCTTTATTCCCCTCCGCCCTCACCCACCCTCCCACCAGCATTACCCCCACCCCAGAATTCCCCCCTGCCCCTCAGTTCATGTCCATGGGTCATATATACAATTTCTTTGGCTTCTCCATTCCCGATATTATTCTTCACCTCCCCCTGCCTATTTTCTACCTACTATTTATGCTCCTTATTCCCTGTACCTTTTCCCCCATTTCCCCCCTTCCCTCTGATCTCCATTTCTGTATTTCTGTTCCTCTTCTAGTTGTTTGCTTAGTTCATTTTTGTTTTTCTTTTAGGTTTAGTTGTTGATAATTATGAGTTTGTTATCAATTTACTGTTCTTAGCTTTTGATCTTCTTTTTCTTAGATAAGTCCCTTTAACATTTCTTATAATAAGGGCTTGGTGATGATGAACTTCCTTAACTTGACCTTATCTGGGAAGCACTTTATCTGCCCTTCCACTCTAAATGATAGCTTTGCTGGATAGAGTAATCTTGGATGTAGGTCCTCGCTTTTCACGGCTTTGAATGCTTCTTGCCAGCCCCTCCTTGCCTGCAGGGTTTCTTTTGAGAAATCAGCTGATAGTCTTATGGGAACTCCTCTGTAGGTAACTGTCTCCTTTTCTCTTCCTGCTTTGAAGATTCTCTCCTTATCTTTA